GGGTGAGAAACCAGGCTTTAGCTCCTGGTGCAGCCGGGCAGGGAAGCTCTAGCCTGGCCATAGCTAGTGGAGCTGGGCTTCACCCTCACAGGATGCCTCTGACCACAGAGGATGGGGCTCACATGCAAGGATCTCTCAAGTTGATGAGCTAAGACAGCGAGGTGTCTATACCTCGTTGGTGAAGCTCCTTGGTTATTCTGAACTAATAAGGTCTTGGTGAGAACCCAGAACCTGTCCCGCAGCTGGGATCTCAACCTGGGCGTGGCCGAAGTTCCAGGTTCAGGTCTGAGGAACGGAGGGAGCAGGTAGAGTCGGTCCTCCGTATCCTACCGGGGTTCTGGATCATTCAGCTTCAAACCCTGCAGCTAGTCTAATCATAACGTCCTCTTTGCCACCTTCCCCTTTCTTAGCAGCAAACGCGGAAGGCTCTTCAAACAAAACCACCGCAAGCCTAGCCCGCCACCACTCACCACGTTATTAATTCCTGACTTAACATAAAACAAATGCTTCTGTGAAGCAGTTAAGGCTTCTCCAAGATTATTTATTTTGAGTGACTAAACTATACACTTCCTGTTGGGCGCTAACGAAAATTGGTCTGTGCTCTTGCAGGGAAATGTCAAGACCACTAAGTGTTGGAGCTCTCTGACCTCTGTTCTCCACATGGTTCTCAAAAAGACGCACATCAGAGATGGCTTCAACCCGAACGTCAAACTTTGTTAAAGGTACGAAACCCCCCCCAGAGTTATTTTGAATATCCCACAGAACAGCCGAGTGCACATCAGCAGGAGTCGTTTTCCACCCCTTTGGGCGTCGTCTTGTGTCGCAGTGGATTTAACGACTTGGTGTGTGTTGTTCTAAGGGTGGAATGGAAGTTGGGCCCCCTTGGCTCTGTCAGAATGACCTTTGCCTGTGGCCAATGGACTCGGGAGAAATTCCCCTGCTTTAGAAAAACATTAAAAACCCGATGTTCTCACCTCAGCTGATGGATCTGGTGATAACCTGGGCACACAATTAAACACAAATATGTATTTGTATTTTTTCTTGACACGCCAAGAATCATTTAGTGTTTTTTTGTTTGTTTTTGTTTTCTTTCTTTCTTGGGGTTGGGATTGGTAGAAGAGTCTAGTTGCTTAAAATCTCAGTTCCATGATGTGTATGTGCCCATGTAGATACATCTGACTAGTAACTTTCTGCAGTTTCCCATAAATGTTAGAATGCCTGGTGTAGGACAGAGGCATCCTGCCTGCCTTAGCCGGCAAAGGATGAGGACAGAGAGGAAAAGGGAGGTTAATCTTTGATGTTTTATAATTAAGTGGTTTGTGACTCTTACAATACTTTATTTTCGAAATGAATTTTTGTAGCTGTTACGGTTGGCTTTGAATGTCTCCAAAGTCTAGGTAGTGTTGAAGGAGGCCTATTTCGTTCATGTTTTTTTTTTTAAGACATTTTATTTTTAGGGTTAAACTCTAGGGAATAAAAGCTTTTAGGGTTCTGAGGGTAATGTTTGGTTTGCAGATATATGCATGTTGTTTCTATGATACATATATGTGACCTATGATCATTCATGCCTGCATGTTTGCGTATGAAGGCCTGATGTTGACTTGGATGTCTTCTATCACTTTGGAACCTAGCGGGGGTTATAGATAGGATGCGCCAGCTATCTACCGTTTCTGGGTTCTGGGCATTTGAACCGTGGTCCTCATATTTGTACAAGTACTATACCGTAGAACCATGTCCCCAGCCTCTGGCTCTGAGTTAATGCTTTAAATACTGATACCTGATTTTATCTTTCTTTGCTTTTTGGTGCCCAGCATCTTTGTGAAGAGGCAGATTGGCAAAAGCTGTCAGAGTGCGCCTTGAGTCAAACCACCCCTATCCAAAGTGCTCTCAATGGACAGGGTATAGCCCAGAAGTCCTGGCTTGCTTTGTGAAGCCATGAATTCTAGAACACAATCCCTGCTCTTAGCCTCTGACCCATGTAGTGGTTTGTCCAAAGGGCTTTAAAATGAAGCCATTCTGAGGATCTGAATTTAAAAGGCACTTTGGAAAGTTATTAGGGCATTGTTTGGTAGACTAAAAGTTAGATTAAGAATTTTTGTGACAACTGCTTAAAACAGTAAATGACATGGTCTCGTTTCATATCTCAGTGTTGGAACTATAGTGCACAAGTTAAATGTTCTGTTGCCATTTGCTGCATCCGAACCCTTACACACCAAGTATGTTTGTGTTCTTGTGAAATTCTTTGGATTCCATTCCTAGGCACGTGTATTTAATTATTAGATGCTTTCATATCCAACACACAAGGACAACATAAAGGGTTTTAAAAGTTACCGGGTGGGCATATCAATATTTATTGAAATACTGAAAAAAAATCCATTTTATTGAGAAATTCCTGGCAAGAACTGACATGACAATATGTATTTCGCTGAAACAGTAAGAGAACTGTCAACAAGTAACCAACTTCACATATGAACACGGACGGCATTGGTTCCGGAAGAGCCATAATCCAAAGACGTAGATGTTACAGACAGTTTACAGAGGCCAACTACAGGAGACACCTAGCTCAGCGGAGTACCTTCCCACTTGAGTCTGCCTACAAGTGTTGTAATTGATAGACAAGGCAGTTGGCTAAGTTACAGACTGGCTACCAACTGATGTCAGACAACTGGCCAGTTCTGAAGGGGCCATCAACGCTGGGCTAGCACTCACCCACTCACCTGCTTTTTTACCTTTGTAACCATTCTCAGGATAAGAGCTACGAGGTTAATGCCATAGCAGGACAATTTTAGGCTTAATATTCAGTGGGGAGTACAATATATTTGAAATAAAGAAACATGGATTTTTTTTTCAATGTAAAAAAATCCTCTGCACGGCCATTCTTCTAGCCTCTAGCCCACATTGATAGGCAGGCTAATATTCTCTCATTGATCATTCCTTCTCCATGTGCCTTTAACCAACGTGGTTTTTAGTCGGGAGGAATAGCCATGCTCCTGTTTTACTTAATGCTTTGGATCTGAGCTGATTAATGACCTTCCCTCCTTCTGCGAACCATGAAGATAACACTGAGAGTCAATGCCTGGCACAGGTAATGTTCATCCCTTGTGAGCGTAGAGGTGATTAATAATAAATGTAATAAAATAATCTTCTTTGTACACACTGAAGTAATAAACTAATATCTTTGGTATTCAACTTACTATGTTTGGAAAGGAAAACCAGGTAAGACTCAGTCTTGTTAAAATAACTTTGAAACAAGAAAAAGCTACAAGTCATGTGATTTACAATGGATATTAAATAAACTACAGAAGGATTATGGGAATTTGCAGACATGTAATCAAGTGGATGGTTTGAATCATTAAGACCCTCCTATACCCCTGAACTATGTCCCATTTACTTGAAGACATGCTATATATAGTAAACACATATTTGGTTTCTTCTTATACAAAGGGGAACCAGAGGAACAATAAATTAGCATCATAATTGTCTACAGTTGAAACTATGATATACAATATAAATAAACTATTCCAAAGCCAGAAACATTTGTGGAAAAAAGTTAAGGGACTGGGAGATACTTTTTATTTATTTATTTTTACAGTTTCTACAAGTGATTGTGCTGCTGATCTCAACAGATGAAGGACTAAGGGAGAGTCCCGTTCTTGATTTTAGTGTCTCACGACATAACGGTAATTGAGTAGTTAAAATAATTAATAACCAGAAAAATAACACTCGAGAAATGACTGCTTTTGCTTATCTTGTAGTATCAGAGCACCCCCTCCCCCCCAACAACTCTCCCCAGGACCTAAAGAATGTAAACACTATGTTTTGTTAGACTTTAAAGTATTAATACTTTATTTTCAACAAATGCTGATGTACATCCGCACAGCTCCCTTTCAGGACCAGGAAGGTAAGGCAAGGCTTTCATACCTGTGGCCATTGGGTATTAATACTGACAGCATGCTTGGAGAGTGTTTGCCATCTCCGCCCTCCCGTAGTTTTGTTCTCCAGCAGACTTTGGTTTATGACTGAGGCCAGTATCTCTTCCGTTGCCCTTTGCAGATCTGAGTGACTTTACTGTCTTTCCAGGCTGTGACTGCCACTGCCTTCTGCATCCCAGGTTAAGGAGGATGCTCTCTGTCAGTGAACCTTTGCAGGACATACATTCTTCCCTTGGCATTGCTTAACGCGCTTCGACTTGTTGGCTACTTAGACTGTGATTATTTGGCATCCCAGCAAAAGATGTTAAGTGTTTTGTTTTTTTTTAAGTGAACTACAAACCCTGACGACTAAACACAGATGTATACTAAACAAGCGTCTTGGCCAAAAATTCTTGTGAAACCCAACCATGCCAAAGCCACAGTTCGGCAACAATAGCAGAAATAAGGTCTAGCTTGCTGGGATTATTTGCTTAAATTTGTTTGGTTTCCTAATGCTTATCTAGAAGAGGGATACTGCCTGCTCTTTTGTTTTGTTTTTAATTACGAGCACACGACAAAACAACTTCAGAACATATTTAAAATGGCAAGCTGACATATTTATACATTGTTCTTATTAGCTGTTGGCAGGTCTAAGACGGACATCGAGAACTCAGGATTTAGTGGAGCTACTGTTGGGTGTGGCTGAACAAAGTCCTTAGTGTCGCTTCAGAGCTCACGGGTCAGAAGGTGTAGGGCCTTCTGGGAGGAGGGAGGGGCCTAACCCATGTATTCTTTCGTGAGAGTTGTTGTTCAGCTTCAGCAGAGAGGAATTCTGGACAAATCCAATTAATAACACCGATCAACTGCTGAATTTCTTAATAACCCATCAGTTTAAAATATACAAGAACTGTTGTTCTCTGTCTATTTCCATTCTGCTGCGGCATTGGACTGTGAGGTCAATCACCCCTTTACCTCTGAATCCTTACTCCTTTGGGGATGAGAGAAGCCTTCGATTCACAGTTTGCAGTAAAAATACCCTGATACGTCATTTATTTGCAATTAAGCATTTGATTATTACGCTTTTTAAAATTTAGTGTCTTTAAACCGAGTTTATAATTTGCATTGCTTGGAGCAGTTCAGAGTATTATGTTTTCCTCCTCCTCCTCGCCTTCCTTCGGTCTCTCTGTCCCTAGAGCAAGCTTCTAGGAGTGGTGACTTAGGCTCTTTTTGCATGCAGCATCTCAATGAGGAGGTTATTGTAGGGTACATCCCCATTCAGATGCTTATAGTAGAGATACTCTTCTGCCTGCATGCTGATTGCTCGGATTTCTGGAAGTCGAAGAAGTAGCTGTCCAAACTTCTCCGTTTGCTGTGGGTAGTTGCAAACTGTGTAGTCCAGCAGAGCAGCGTTCACCTGTTCCTGGACGCCTTCCACCAGCTGGAAGTTCTCGAGATTCTTGACGTCTGCGTTTAAAAACACAAAGACAAGATTTCAATGGTGGGTTTTTGTTTTTCCATTTAGATTCCTATTTACTAAAGCAATGCTCAGTTCGTGGTTGTGTTTCGCCCTTGATATAATGTGTGCTTTATATGCTGTTGAATATTCAGGAAGCCCCACTCACCAAGCTTCCTGGGAAAAGGGTTGCAAAAGATCTTTGCAAGGCAGTCTTGTTGAAATTCTGCATATACCTCAAACCAATTAGACACCAATGGATTTTGAGCAAGGTCAACTCTTCTCATATCTTACAAAAGGAAAGGCTTGAGGAGAAGGATCATAATATATTGCCAGCAAATGAGTCCCTAGAGAAAGACCTATCTTAAACCAGTATATTACACAATTCATATAATTCTGTATTAATTTTTCTGACCCAAGGTGAAATCTGTGTCCAGGGTGTGATGTAGTTAATTCTAATAAAAAGTGACAGGGTTCTTGTTTCTGTTTGACATTTTCTAAATGATTCTGAAAGCCTTTGCCTTGTCTAGCCTATGCTAATGAACCATCTGGTACACTCCAGTGACTGCCAACTGAAGGTTCGCTACTGGGAACTCTCTCAAATATATATCTCGGTGACTAATGATCTTTATCAAATGAAAGCCCTGTCCTTTAGGCAGAATACAGGCCAGGATGCTTGGTGCCCTTTAACCTGAATAAGGCTGACTCTCCTCTCTTTCTCCTGGTCCTGGGCCACAGCTAGGAGGAAGCCGGGAACAGGCAATTCACCCCCTGCCTAGCTCTGGGTGATCACCTAGTTCTAAGACATCCACCTTGGAGGTATTTCTACATATTGAATAAGAAAGAGCCACAGAACCACAAAAGTCAGGCTCACTCGCGTACAAATGCACACAGATGAGGGACTCGGGAAGGGTGGAATGTTTATATTCATTGTATAACTAATACGAAAGTGTGTGTGTGTGTATATATATACACACACAGAGTAAACAGACACACACATATACACACCCTTTATTTTCTAATGGGACAAAAATAAACAAGATTCTGAAGTAAACCAAATACTATGAGCAAAATGAGTAAAAAGTTAAACGTGTTGGCTGAAAGGTCGCTGTCACCATAGTAACTCACAGCCAACATGTTAGGCGCCATCAAAGCTAGGCTGTGCTTCGCCCGTGTGTGTTCCTCTCGTTCATCCGCCGTCTCTCTGTGAGTCTCTATATAGTAAGGTTCCCTTCGTGTACCCCTGGACTGTTCAGGGGGATCTGAGTGTTTACATTTGAATCGAGATCTGCACTAGCAGCTTCTCTTTATTACCAGGTCTCTGGCCCAGATTCAAACCAGTGAGGAATCGGCAAGAAGTAGCTACATGACATGGAGTTGGAGACAAAATCCTAGCTCTACATGAGAGAGATCAGAGGTACAAACATACTCGGTTATTGTCTGAGTGGGACATTGAAGTTTTGTACCACCTGGTATTTATTTGACAGCCAACCAAATACTTCCATCTAAATGTGACACCACCACCACCCCCAAAACACACACATGCACCCCGGTTTCTCTGTGTAATTAGTCCTAGCTGGAATTAGATTTGTAGATCAGGCAAGCCTGGAAACTCACTCAGATCCATCTGCCTCCTGCCTCCCGAGTGCTGGGATTAAAGGCGTGTGCCACCACTGCCCACCTTAATGGGAAACATTTTTCAAGTTAAGTAATTTAATCTAACAATAATTAGAGATATGGCTGTGATCTAAAGTTATGCTTGGCTCAAGATTACCAAACGTAAATGGTCAGAAATACCTCCAGCGTGTTCTCCTTCAGTAGGAAAAGAGAATTCTACATGGAGTTAGGCTACAGTCACTTAAAGATATGTATGAGGCAGAAAAGCTAGAAATAGAGACCAGTTGGGAGGATGCAAGAATTTGAACAATATGGAACATATAGGATGAACATTATTTGTATACTACTATTCTAAACTGAGCACTAAAGAATCTCAGATGGTCATTTATGGTTAACTTTGAAAAGTTCAAAACACTTGCAGTTTTCCACATAGGAGGAAAGTACCTAGATTTCACATATTTTGGTCAAATATACACCCCCACACCCGGGCAAATATCAGGGTTGAATGCACAGGCCTAAATTATCTGCCTAAACTACTTCAACGAATTAAGCATTAAATATAAGATGTATGCTGTCAATTGGACCAAAGACTTCTATGTTTAGGCAGGTGGCCAAGATCCTGATACTTAAAGTTTAAGGTGAGCCAGGCATGGTGGCACACATGTGTAATCTCGGTACACAATCAGCAGGAGAACTGTGGCTCCTTGCCAGCCTGGAGTACATAGAAAGAACCCAGAAGGGGAGAGAAAGGGAAAAAAGGCAGGCAGGCCATGTTGAAGAACTGTCTCCCATTTGCTGGCAAGCAGTTGCTTGCCAGCCTCTGAGCTGCCTCCGCTATCAGACTGTCCATCTCCCTCCAGAGACTGCTAGCTGCTGGGGTGAGGGCGAAACATTAGTCAAGGGATCCTCAGAAAATACACTATTGGTATATTTTCACAAATGGTTGAACTATAATTATGAAATGACCCTGTGAGCCAGTCTGCTTGCTTTCCCAAAAAAAAAAAAAAAAAAAAAAAAAAAAGTTCACTACTAAATCACAATGTGGTTAAGTTTTGCGGTCCAAATAGCAAGACTTGGCTCTAGATGTTTTAACCAATGAGGGCTTCGAGTGGGAATCGGGCCTGCAGCCCCATAGGAAATGCAATCCTCCCTGGGGGGGGGTGGTATCCTGTGTCTCTTGAATCTCTGGGCCTGACAGATTAAACTGGGTGGAAAAACCAAGGTTTAACAGTCTACATAGAGAAGAGCTCACAAGGACCTAAAAGCAGCAGAGATGGTAAATGCCAAAATATAGGTGAAAACCTCTCCTCCCGGGAAACCTGCAATTTTTTTCCCCCCTAAGTTCATCTCCTTTCATGAACATTTAAGAATGCAATTGATTTAAAACGCAAGTCCCGAGACTTGCAGTTCAGTTTTCCCTCAGTAAATACTGTGTGTGACACATCTGGGTTGCAGCAGGGGAACAAACAGCTGGAGGAAGGGAGTGACACCTGCCAGAATTCCCACCAGCTCAGCTCCTTGGGCGCCTTACACCTGATCCCAAACATCTTGCATTTGGCTCCTTTGGCGTTTACATAACCCTCTTTCTCATACAATTTAAAAGGACCTGCCCGTTAGTTGTTGTTACAGTGTTGAAGAATGTAAACAGACAGACAGGCAGAGAGGCATCCCCAACCCCTTCTTGCCACCGCAGCCTTTAAAATTTGATGACTGGCAAGAGCATTTTGCGCTTCCTTCTAAGTATCAATCGCTTATCTATTCTACTTTAGTCACTCGGGGACTAATTACCAACTTTTCCTATGAAGCACATTACGATAAGCTCACAGTGGGTTGCTCAGGGTTTTTCCCCCATCCTTATTGAGAAGTAGACCCTTAGGCCTTCTTGAATATATTACTGCGCTGCTGACTTCCCTTGTCATGGGGCAGATTCAGCTCTCTGAAGATGAACCTTGGCCTCCCTGGTCACCGTCACGGGACCTTGCTGTTGTACACACTTGGAAAGGTAGCTCTTTCGCTGAGCAAGGAGGGGCCAGGACAAGTGTCTTTTCCTGAGACACAGTCTTTTAAAACACAACCAAGGGGGCTCAGAACAGATTTCAAACTCAGAGTCAAGATCTAGGCCATGAGAGGAATAAGAGGTCTGGATAGACACACACACTCTCTCTTTCTCTCTATCTCAATAAAAAGCAAGACCCCCTGAAACAGGGTCACAGCTGGGACAAGGCAGCCTTGCAGACCACTACAGCCAGGATTGCTGCGTCGTCTTAGGATCCCCAAGATAGGAAACAGTTTGAAAAGAACAATGCCCAAATTCCCAAATATTGTCGATAGATGTTTGTTTTCCTCTAAATGGGGTTGGTTATAAACAGTTAATGATCACAACCAATCTCTTTTTTAAAGGCAAAAATGGGATTGTGGTATAGAAATGGATACTTTGTTTTGGAATGGATTTTCATTTATTGATACAAATTTAAGGTCAATTTTGTGGTAAGTATATTTCTCCTCTTGTTTAGGTATTGTGTTTGCATAGCTCATTTAAAAATGTAATGTATAATTAAGTACAGATTGTATATAGTTACCTATGAGAGCCAAAGTTTATACTTAGGTTGGTTAGGTTTTCTAGATATGTAGAGATATATTTCAATTGGATAGGCATTCTTCAAACATTTCAAAGACCTACACAATATGGCATTAAAAATGGTTTAAGGTTTTCCTTCTTGACAGTGAGACCTAACTGCTCCTGGCAACACCACCTGCGCACCAAAGGAAGATGGAAGATGGACATTGAAGAAACTCGGTTATGGAGTTTACTCCCAATATGGCAAAACTAGCCATTTCGGCAAGATATTGTCTAGTCTGAACTGTTTGACTTCATGGTGTATAAACTGGACATGCACCACCCACAGAAAAGTGACTGCTGAAACAAGATGAACATTGCTGTAGGGTTCCTGCTTCATGGAAGAGTCTGCCAGACATTCTGCAGGACACAGAGAAAAGTGACTGACAAACTGTCAACACAGGTAGACAGTTTAAAGTTTCCTGCTTTGCTGAGGAGTCTGCCAGACACACTATGGCCTACGGGCTGAAGATGGAAGATTACAGAAAAACTTCAGGTGACTGCCCAGATGAGTTCTCTCTGTCATTTCTAGAGTTTATATATTATCCTTCTGTGGTCTTTGATGGAATCGAAGACAGATAGTTATGGTTATAGTTTTCCTTAGTTACATATAGGACTTTAGACTCAGAAAGATAGGATAAGATGATAGAATATTTTCTTTAAATCCTGCTAAATGTTAATGAACAAATATGGGAGATGTCATTCTGTAAATATGTTTCTCTTACTGGTTAATGAATAAAGCACTGTTGGACAATAGGAAAGCAAGATAGGCGGGAC